AAACAAATCGACTTCCAGTCGTATTTCCTTTTCAGAATAAAAGCAAATGTCCATAAACTTGCAGCAATAGTTTTCTCGTTTGTTTGTTTTAATAAAAACCAACTGATTAACCACGACATGCAAATTACAACGGTGTATAAAACCTTCGAAAATTAACATTGGTCTAAGGAGTAACAAATATAACAAAATGTCAATACTTTTGTTTTGAAAGTATCCTTTTCTCTAACAACTTTTAAAATGATTGCCAATACAAAATAAAAGCTTTATCACCGTAGACTGACGAATCATACAAATATATATATTTTCTCTGGTATTTGACGTGCATGAGCATTATAAGACCTTACCACGCCACAATTTTATAACCATCTCTTCACAATAAACCCGCAATATTCCAGTTGGTTAGGCTGAAAAATAAACGTATTATCAGCTGTGCTATCGCGCAGTCCGTTTCATTCGTGCGGAACTGGTCGGTTAAATTGAATGGAATGGTCGAGGTGCAGGGATCTGGTCTCATTTCAGCGGATCTGGGCTAAAGCAGATCGGTTAAATGGAAGAGTCGCGTCATCTCCGTTTACTCCAATGGACCTTTTTTCCTTTCTTTCTTTCTTTTTTTTAAACTGCAATTGCGGATTATGGAGCCTCGTAATAGTCCCGGTGTTCCAGGTGGTTCCAACTGGTTTTTATATTAACTGGTTAGATTCGTTTACATATTCCACTCTCAGTGTTTCAGATGTTGGATCCGCAGATTCGTCATTTTTACTGAATGGGCTTCTGTCTGTCAGTGTGTCATGCGGTTTGTCAAGATTCATTCCTTTTAAATTCCGTTTGACATTTTTAAATTAGATCAGTCAGTCTGAGGGCAAACACAAGCTGCTGTAGCTCTGCCCTGAGGAACAAGCTACATTTGCTGATTTTGTGCAGAAGTTTGCCATAACATCACGTTATATAGAGTAGCAGCTGCCCACTTAAAATTTTTACATCACGTTTGCGTGTTTCCTGAGTCAGTCAACTCGAGGTACGAGTCGAAAAAAAAATGTTGGCTCGTTTTTTATGTTATAGAAAGACAGAGGTAGGAGACAGAGCAGAAGACTTTTTGATTTAAAAATAATAATAATAATAATTTCATTGTTGCCTGAAGATAATATTTGCATGAGCTGGAGACCTCTTGTCAAATCGCATGACACACTAACAGAGAGAGAGACAGAGAGAGAAGACCAGGATCAAACATCTGGAACTCAGAGCATGGAATATGTAAACAAATCCAACCAGTTAACCTGGAACACCGGATAGGTTTTCTGTATTTAATCTATCACAACACCTGTGGCTCTCACAGATTTAAATATATTAATCTTTCCACATCAAAAGGAGCCAGTTGAGATGGTTCGGGCATCTGACAAGGATGCCCCCTGGGCACCTCCTGGGCGAGGTTTTCCAGACCCAGGACGCTGGAGAGATTATATCTCTCAGCTGGCCTGGGAACGCCAGGGAGGGAGGTCTGGGCTTCTCTGCTTGGGCTGGTGCCCCCGCGATCCGGCCCCGGATAAGCGGAAGAAAATGGATGGATGGATAATCTTCCTTACTGTATTGGATTGATGTACAAAAATATAATTATTAAAATATAGTCACTTTATTTTCCACTCAGATTATGCGATGTTGATTAAAGTTTTTGTGTTTTGTTAAGAAAAGCCCAGCACTATGCCTTCCCATAGCTTTTTCTGTCAAGCTATTGACAATCTACAGAACCAATGCAGATGGAGAAAATGATTATACATGTTCAGTTGTAGAATCAAATCTGTGAAACATACCAAAACAAACAAAAAGAAGTGTTTAATTTTTGTTTCTTCTTATAGATCTTCTTATATTTATTTTATTTCCACAGGTACAAGTGAATTATGAAAAAAAACACTGAAAGTCTGTTGAATGTAGAGTCCATTGTTTTTGAGGTTATTTAAAAGACAAAAGAATGCTGTACTCATAAATATACATAGATTAAATGGTAAGTAGACTGTTTCTCATATAGGGCTTTGCTACTCTCCCAGAGCACTCAGAGCGCTTTATACAGGATGTCACATTCACAGAAGCACATTCTTCTTTGCTTTTAAGTGTTTTCGAGCTAACATTCACACCCCGAAAGATACATCAGAGTGCAACTTTGGCTTAGTATCTTGCATGTCCCAAGGATATTTGGCATGCAGCCATGGATCAAACCACCAACCTTCCTATCAGTAGATGTCCTGTTCTACCACCTGAGCTACAACCACCACAGATCAGCATGCAATTACATCTTCCAAGAAAATGATGCGCCTTCATAAACTTTGAATTAATCCATTAAAAATACATAGCAATGTGGAAGCCGCCACATTGCCCTGCAGTTCTGAATAGAGTGGAGGAGATGAAATCACTCTGCATATGTAGCACACAGAACTTTTGTTGCAGTTACTTGTTGTTAGGAGATTAGACCCTACAATCTCTGGACAGTTGAAAATGAGTCAGAAAAACACATGGATATATTTTTTGTCATTATATTTTCTGGTCATTTAGATATTTCACAGTAGTTTTTCGAGGTCCTAGCACACAGGGAGATGTTGATGTTTGTTTGAAAGACAGCATGGAATTTAAATCGTACTGTAAGTTTGAAGAAAAAGAGTCACAGGATAGTTTTTTTTCTGGAAAAGAGAAACACTATTCATCTTACTGAAGTTAAACGAGTGTAATGCCTTAATATTTACTCTCTTTACTCTTTACTGTTGCTCTTTAAAAAAATTTTCTAATGCTTGTTTGACTAACTTTGCAATCCTTCCCTAATACAAGAAAGTGTGGTATGTAAATATGTTTAAACCAAAAATTGTGCCATTAAACTATGGGCATTCCTGATTATGATTATTGATTAAAATGGAAAAACTGGATCACTCCATAATAGCTGTACTGCCACTACCTGACTACAGTTCATTACTCCGTATTTATATATATATATATATATATTTATTTATTTATTATAGAAAGTATAGTTGACCAGTTATAATAAAAAAGCATTGTGACAATATGTGAAATGACTATTAGTTAGAGAGCCTATCTCAGCTGACATACACAAAGGCAGGGTACCTCCTGGATAGGTTGCAACTCTATAGCAAGGTTAACACATAGAGACAGACAACCTTTAATAAAATTATTTAGCTACAAAATTAGATTTTTGCTTCTAGGATGGGTTAATAACATACAGCTAAGTTAAATTTTAAAGTATTACCTAACAACAAGCTTAGAGACTTGCCTTGCACAGCATAAAAAATAACCCTGTAACTTTTCTGAATTGTTAAATGGTTAAAGTAATATTATTAAATTAAGATTTTTCATGTCCAGAAAAGAAAACTATCAAATACTGTTGCAGGGACTCTGATTGTGACGTCATAATACGACCCATGCCCCCAAAAGTACAAGGTACTTACAATGTAATTATGTCATTGTTTCCTGTAAAAACCTGACTTGCCACTTGATATTAGGCACAATTACAGGATACTTACGCCTTAGTTGCATGTCTAACAGTGTCATTATTTCAGTGTTTCCTGTAAAAACCTGACTTGTGACGGAAAATTACATGTGGTTATAGGGTACTTACACCCGAGTTGCAGGTTGTATTAACACATGGTAAACATCCAGGGAAAACAGGAGCTGTGCAAATACACAGAAAAGAAGAAGCCAGGGTTTCACTGTGTAGCTCAACAAGTCAGCAAAGATTGACTGCCAGCTGAATTGCCAGAGGGGGAACCCTGGATTAGTCATGCCCATAAATGCAGACAACAACATCAACAGACAGAGAGGGAGTGAGAAAGAGAGCGATAACCAAAATGGAGAGACAGAGGGAAAACAAACTGGGGAAAAACCAGCCAGGGAGAAGTGAGGGGCTATCTGCTTTAGAGCATTAGGCTGTTATACCTCATGTTGAGAATAGCGTCCTTCTTTCTCCACAAAATAACTGATGAAAACAACTTCTGTGTTTACTGGGAAATCTTTTAATTTCCTTAGAACTATAGCAGTAATTTAACCTGAAACATAAAAAGGGAAGAACAAACTTTGATTTCCAAAATTGAATGTCTCATTACTCCAAATGAAATCTACTGAAAAAGAAGACGTAGCTATTTTAAATGACCAACTTCACAACCTTTATCTTTATAAAGGCAAAAGCTCATATGTGAGCTCTAGAAGGCAACGGTTAGCAGAGGGAGACCAAAGCACAGCTTATTTATTTTGTCTAGAACAACAAGAAGCACAATTTCATTCCTTCTAATCTGCAGCTTACTGTTTACTAGCAGATTACTGTTTTGCCTTTTACAGCAAACAATGCAATTCTATCTACTCACAATGAGGTTTCCTTTATTTTATGATTAACGTTAATATTTATTTGTTGAACACATAAATAAATGTGATGCTCCACTTACTCTGATCAATGTCAAAATGCATATTTAAAATCTAAAAAACCAACAACTCTCTAGGTTTAGGCTGTTTAAGTGTTGAATTTTAAACATCATTCTCTGATTTGCTGACAACAGAGACTATACATACAATTTATTGAGCAAGAAATTTTACCTGGGGCCTTATTACATTAATAAAGCTTCTACCACTGGGATATTACTTTTATCCCTGTTATCTTTTAGAATAATTATATCAATAGAATTAAATGTAAAAGAAAAAAAAATCATTTTCTTTTTTTTATTTCAGTATACCGTGTAAATTTTAATTATGCTATTATGAGTCCTTGGTTTGTATTGTATATTCTGTTTGTGTTCCTGTTCTGTGTAGATGAGACGTACTCATCGTGTGTTTCTAATGGGATGGTGTTTTGCGGCAGGTGGCAGCAGAGTCAAAGTGTTGCTACACAACCCTCAGAAAGATGCTGTTGATGCCGCATCAATGACGTCACATACTTGGTCACCAGTATTTTGACAATGGGAAAAGTTTATCGTTCTGGCGACGAAACGTTGTAGAAATCTGAGAAAACGATTCGACTAATGCGCTTTCCACTAGTTATTTTTAATTTTAATTTCAGTTTATGATTTATTTCTTACGCGGTTTCAGGGGGATAACACTTTTTCCTTTTCTTGTCTTTTTTTTTTTAACTACTGGACATATCAACCTCATACACCGAAGGACGGATCGACAGCCGTGGCATGATCGTGTTTTGCTCATAGAGAAGGTATTGTATTGTACTGATTTGTGTGATATTTTTATGTAATAACTGTAAATGACTGCACAAGAATCTGCTATAGAAAAAAATATACATAAAAAGTTTTTGTTTGTTTTTTCAGTGTAGCTCTTCTGGTAGATTTGAACTTTATTCCTGTTGTGCTTTAAATTTGGACGTCTTTCATAGACCTAAATGCTGTTGGGGTTTTACAATCTTAAACTCTAGATTTGAACTATCTTGCAAAAGGAGGACAAAAAATAGTGACCGAGAGATGTCAATGGGTTTAATAATTTGCACCTCTCAAAATCACCCATCTCCATATTTTGGTGGTTTAAACCACCAACTGCAAAGGTTACTAGCTGTAAACACTGAGTAATGGTCAGATAGGAACCGTTTGAGAGTTTCAGACCTATGCTTATCTTTGACATCTTCAATACTTTCACAGTAGGTGAAATCAAAGTACAAAGCTCCTAGCTTCGAAGCTCTCTCTTGGTTGTTTTTGTTTGTTTTTTTTGTTTGTTTTCTTTTGTTTTCCTTTGCTTTTAAAGAGTAAAAAGGCAAAAGTACTGCACTAGCAGTACTGAAAATATGTTCTGACGACAAACAACTCTACGACAGACTTGGATGCTATAACTTTAAAAACTTTCTAAATTAATTAGCTTAAAGAAAACTGAGTATATGACTGCTCATATTTATACATCTCATTTAGTTCCATTTACACCAATTCTAAAAAGAGAGAATTGACGTCAAAATCGCATGTGTTTGCAAATAAATACTGCGCTAAAGCCTGACTGTTTTTTTCAGGGATTTCAAGCAGCAGATCTGCTTTTCTGGAATTCCTTTGTGCATAGAGAGAGCCATCAATGCTGTGCTGCCTGACTGCTAGTATATCAAAGTTATGCAGCCTAGCTTAATCCATTTCATTAGCATTGTGCCTGGAGCTCTTTCACGCATACAGCATAGCCCTTATGTGCGTAGCAGTGCAGTTGTCTTGGGGTGGGGAGGATTTCAGCATTGGTCAGTGCAGCTGTGCCCACTTTCAGCAGAATGAAATCAGAGATGACTGGCTCCAGTATCCAATACACTGCCTGAACAGACACAATGTTACTACCCATACAGCTACTAGAGACATCTTGTAGGCTTACTCCATTAGCCAGTATTTTTGAAAGAAGGCTGGCTAGAAGTGTTGACCTCAAAAGATTTTGCTTGGCCACCACCGCCATGAAGTGTGATGCGCTAGTCATTTAATGTCTGTGTACTATTAAAAAAGGTCATCCATACTTAATTTGGACTCTTATACAAATTCTAGAAACTCTTAAGGAGATTTTAACCATTGATAATTTGAATGAGTGTTTAGCACAATTTTGATTCACTGATCTTACACCATTTCTTTATAGTATAGGTTTGAGTTGAGGTTGATGTTCAGTATTTAATTCTAAATTTATTAGTTTAGCTAAACTGATGATACTTTGTTTTATGTGTTTTAAATATAGTTAGTGGTGGGGAGAGTTGAAGGGAAGTTTAAGCCTAATTTCAGTTTGACTACAAATAAGTTAAAAAATAATGGTGAGTTTGCAGGCTACAACGCTTTCTCAGGTCCTTCCCATTTGAGTATACTGTAACCCAGTTCTTTCTTTTTTGGTACAATTTACATATGTCCCCTAAATGTGTCACATGGTGTTGAATCATAAAGTTTGTGTTTTGCAAGGTGGGTAGCTATAAAGATCATTAAATATTTGTGATCACTGTGTGTGAATTGTGCCTGTGCAGAAGTGGCACATTTTGAGTTCTAACTTTCTCGAGAACCCAGATAACAGAAGTTAGAGCTAAAATAATTTGTCATTAATTTGTTTACAGACAGCATTCACAAAAGGAAACATAAGAATATGTCCACTCATTTTTTCTGAGAATCTGATTAACTTTTTGTGACATGAATGAGGACACACACACACACACACACAGCTTGCACGTTGCTAGATGTTTTATTGTTTGGGATTTTTTGTTGCAGCTTTTCAGCTGCTACATACACACAACGCACCATTTCAGGTCCCAGCACATCTTTTACATGGGAGACATGATCAGCTGATGGAGCTGAGGTGTGCGTCAGCCTCCCCTGACGCCACACCCTGACACCACTGCTCCACTCCTCCCCTGCAGCTGAGCCACAAACCACACCCTGCCACACTTTTAAACTATCAGACTGATAAAAATGAGTAAACGTGAGAACTTTTTGCTAGCCAAACTCATCAAAAGTCTTTTTTAAATGTTCACAATAAACCCCACTGAAGATGCTGATATGTATGAAAAACAACATGACTACAGCTGTTTTCTATTTTAGTTTATTTCTTTTCATATCTATATTTGTTTGTTAGATTAAAAAAAAGTTACCCATAAACTTATTACCTAAAGTATTCTATTTAGGCACATTTTGTGCATCGGCAAACTTATCTTGCAAAAGTAACTCACAATTTCCTTCTATCTGTAAAAACACGTAATGTTAAAATCTTCTTCTGGGGGTGGTATGTGCTTGATCCTTGAGCTCGGGTCCTCAACCAGAGACATGGGTGTTAGAGGGTTCTGCGCACTGTCTTAGTTGTTCCTAGGACTGCACTATTCTGGATAGAGACCTCCAGTGTTGTGCCTGGCTCTTAATACTCTTATTACCGCAAGAACCAATTTGGACTATACCTTCTAGCAGCAGTTCTTTCAGCCCCTAGCACTTCTCTATTTTCTTGTGCTGCTTTTGGTAAATGTCTGGATCTTGTGTTTAGGCTCTGTTCTGGTGCTGCTATTATCATTGCCTCTGTGCTGGCCTCTAAGCAAGCTTTTTCTATCCACTGGTAGGATTTCTTTATGTCAGGGATTTCCTCTATGTGTCTGTGGTACATTTTTTGCAGCGGCTTAGTCATCCATGATCTTGGTCTTGTGGTGCAAAAAAACCAATGGTACAGAAATAGAATATATGGTATTTACAATATATATAATATATACATCTCAAAATAAATATTAATATAAATAAATACATCAGGAATATATACTAACTACCTACCTTAAGAAATGTGTGTGTGTGTGTGTGTGTGTGTGTGTGTGTGTGTGTGTGTGTGTGTGTGTGTGTGTGTGTGTGTGTGTTGGGGTGTGCAAAGTGCATGTATTGAGTCCAGTGGGAAAGTTATTGTAGCCTGAGTAAATAAGTGTGTTGTTGTAACATGTTAAGTGAGGGGGTGTTGTTACGTAGTCCGACGTCTTCTTGTGCCATGAGGTGTTGGTTCTGATGGACCACAACCTCCTGTAAAAGGGAAATATCACAATTTATGCCCGGGTGAAGAGTCAGTAGCAATCCTGATTGCCTGTCTCACTTGCATGAAGGAGTACATGTCTTGTAGGCAAGGCAGATTGCAGTCATTCACCTTTTCAGTGGAGTGGATTACATGCTGTAGTCTGCCTTTGTCCTTTGCAGTGGCAGCAGTATGCCAAAGTGTTAAAGGAGGTGAGAATAAATTCAGTGATGGAGCAGCTAAACTGCAATCTGTGATGGTGAGCAATCCATGCCACATGCTCCATGTGTCGCCCTGGTGGAAGCGATGCTCCCGATACCGGCGTTTGGCATCCCTCACCATGCGCCGAACTTGTTTGGTTTTTTTTTGTCAAAAACAAAATAAATTTTTAGACTTGAGAAATTTGTTGCTGCTCACAATGTAATAGATTTATATATTGAACAACTTGTCAGAACAACTGACAAGACGCTAGAACTTTGATTGTAGGGTGTTTACCTTACAATATAAAGCACCTTCAGGTGACTGTTGTGATTTAGGACAGTATAAATAAAATTGAAGTGAATTGAACAGAACCCTGACAGGAATGGATTGTGAAATTGCAGACCAAGAAGAAAAACTTTTTTTTATACCGGTTGAGACTTCATTGTCATTAAGACTCAACATCTCGTTTACAAGAGAGACCTGTTTCAGACAGCATAATAAAATTAAAATTAAAAAACCACATTAAAATAACTAAGAGTCATATTAAAAACAAGAACAAGTTTCCAGTAATGATGTCAGAAAATCATTTAACCCTTTCATGCATGAAACCTCAATCAGGATTTTTTTCTTAAGTATTTTTATTCACTTTAAGCCTTCATTTTTTTTAAACATGTACTTTTCAAAGAGTTTTTTACATGTCCACTTAGGTGGACAACATCACCTTTGGAGTGGCTGGCAGGGTATGGATTGACGCACCAGTGTCCAATGTAGTGGTTTATGTGCAAGTATACTATCAACACTGACACAAATACAAGAAAACAGCCTTTGAATAGCTGTGCACTGTAGTGACCACTGTGTGTGAAAGGGTTAAATGTATTTTAAAGTCTGCATGTGAAATCAATTGAGAGAGCTGCAAGTCCTTCCTTACTACGCTAAGAACAATCTAGAGAAAGATGATGCATACTGCAAGTGCCTTCTTTGGTCCATGTAAAAACAAGAGCTCTTTGGCAGAGACACTGCTTATATTTATGCTTAAATAGGGGAGAGGTGTTCAACCCAAAGAACAGCATCCCCACAGTGAAACACAGTAGTGGGAGGATTATGCTGTGGGAATGCTTTGGTGGGAACAGGTTCACATCAAAGTGTAAAGAACCACGAGGAAAGAAAATTGTAAAGATTTTGAAAGAAAACCTCAAACAGTGATTTAGCAAAAACTGGGTCTGGGTTGTTTCCCTGCACAAAAGAAATTTTCATAGGTGGGCAAACAATCTTGTACACATCTGTATCAGCTGAAAAGTTCAGATTCTGTATCTCAAGCATTTGGTTGGAATAGCTGATTAAAACAGGATCTATGTTAAAGTCAAATTATGTCAGTTACAATATAATTAATCGTGTCAAATACATGCTCATACTTCTGGTAAATGGACTGTTTCTTATATAACACATTTCTACTTTATTTGAGCACTCAAAGCCTCATTCACATCCATTCACACAAGCACTTTTTACATCTAAGTGCTTTCTATCTACCATTTACACCCTGAGAGTGTAAATGGTAAATGAGAAAAGTACATGAGAAAAGTACAGAAAAGTACAGATCTCAGCAGAATCTAAACATTGTAGTTGGTTTTGACTTTTAACAATTATGTCGAGAACAAAATTAAACAGGATCATATAGACTACAAACATAGTAAAGCACAGATGTATTAGGAATTGACAATGATATTGGATTTGGAAATTTCAGAATGACATAAGTACAGAAATAAGTAATTGCATAAATAAATACCCCGAGGGACTGTTGGTAGCTTACAATCACCAGAGTTTACCGAATGTTTTTCAGACAACAGAAACTTAAATGGTGTTTTCTCCTTCTTCCTTGTCTTAAGGTGCAGCCCTCACAGCGATGACTACATCACTGTTGCTCCACAGGACAGTCTTGCTGACTGTAGTCTTCTGTAACTTGCCTTGCATCGCTTCCTCCCTCAACCTGGAGGATCCCAATGTCTGCAGCCACTGGGAGAGGTTAGTCAAGATAATAGCCCATAAAGGGCAATAAAGGCATTCAGCATTACGTGTCCTTTACCCACCTCCAGACTATACTAAGCATCGCCGTAACATTACGCCCCTGATACTAACACTACATGCTAATGCACTAACAGTGGAAATGTGTTATCAACCTGATAACTTTCTTAAGCTGTGTTTAAAGTGTCAATACTTAGCAGTCTGTTTTTCCATTTGCAAGGATGAAAAAAACTTCTATGTTCAGGACTATCCCAGTAAAGCTGAGCATCGCTCATTTCCCTAATTATAGTACCATCATTCCACTGAATGCTAAAGACACAGTTACTAGAGCTTGTGCACACACAGACTTACCTGTAGAGGTTACTGATGAGACTTACATGACTTACAGAGAATCTGTTCTGTTCAGCCTCATAACGCAGAAACATATCTTCAAAACAAGGCTGAACACAAAAAGTTTCTCTGTCAAGGTTTGTCAAAACTTGCAGAGTACTTTGTTTGCAGAGTACTTTGTTTGCAGAGTACTTTCAGTTTTTGCTCTCTGCTGAAACCGAAAGCTGAAACCTGAACTTTTGACTGGCTCACTTTAATATATAAATCCAGCACTGTAACAGTTTGCACAAGATATTAGAAACCATATGCGTTTCCATTGTTAAACAAATGACACCTATATATATAATTATATTTCTATATGAAGGCCAATAACTTCAATTGGTTGCCCTGCAGGCATAGCATAAAGATGTTAAGACCTATAATTTTTAATCTTATAAACTATTTATTGTATCATTATCTCTTCTAAGAAAACAAAGCTTTTGGACAAACAGGCAATTAGTTTTCTCAGGTATTTTAAGGACATAAAAGTTGGTTGAGTGTCAATCTATTGTGTGTCAATCTCTTTTGAAGTAAATCAACTAATTGAACAGAGACGATTAATGAGGCAGTCATGAACTATCATCAGCCACACACTGGTTTCATGTCTGATATCCATTTTCTTTTTTCACTTTCTGTGGTTTCAGTTACTCTGTGACAGTGCAGGAGTCATATGCCCATTCTTTTAATCAGATTTATTACACCAGCTGCACTGACATCCTCAACTGGTTTAAGTGCACCAAACACAGGTAAGAACCAATTAAAATGATACTTGATACGTATGGAAATGTGTGGTGATAATGGGTTTGATTAAATGGCAGTACCACAGTTTTTCCCTGTTGTTTTTCTTTTTTTGTTTATTTAAATCAGACATTGTCGCTGTATATTTACCTCATTGTGGTCTCATTTGCCAGTGTCAAAAACAAGGTCTGAAAGTGGCTTACCCCCTTTACCAAATAAAAGTTGCAATAATAAAGACAAAATTTACAGAAGAATGTAGACATGCTAAATGGACTGGAGCTTAAATAGAGCCTTTTATTCACCCAGTTACACTGACATTCATACAGCACTTTTATCTAACAATTAAGACAGTCACATGCCAATGCATGCAAATTGGGGTTCAGTATTTTGCCCGGGGACATGTCAACATGCAGACAAGAGGATCTGGGAATTAGAGCCTTGAACAAGACTATTCTTTTGAATTCTGCTCCCACCAAATTTCTGACCATTACTGTCTGCTCCCACTGTCTGTCTCTGTCACCTGCCTTTGTGATATTTGTGTCCAATCCTGCCTGCATCCACAGAAAGTATTGTAAGATGGTGAAAGATGTACCCTTAGGCCCCCTCCTCGATTCAGAGATGGTCTTTCTATTTTCATGTAAACGGCCTTGTTGACTCCCTGCTCAAACCAGCGTTCCTCCCTGTCCAGGATGTGGGATACATCCTCATCACTGAAAGAGTGTCCACTGGCCTGTAGTAGTAAATAGACCGCAGAGTCCTGGCCTGACGAGTTAGCTCTTCTGTGCTGCGCCATCCGCTTAGCCAGAGGTTGCATGTTATCCCTGATGTATAAATCACAACAATCCTCCTGGCACTTAACACTGTTCACTATATTACTGTTTGTGTGCTTAAGGGTACATCTTTCAATATCTTACAGTGCTGTAATTGCAGCCATTCCCCAACTCTCGATAAATGGCACTCGTCATCACGACAGTATTAATGATAAAGAAACTGACCCCTATTGTTAGTCAGTGGTGTTAGTTTCAGCTTGTTTCATTAAAATGTACTGTTCAGAGGGTTGGGGAAACCTGCAGTCAGCTGAGACTGAAGAAATCACTTGGATGAGTGATTAAATATTTCTTCCACTGATAAAGTTACGTCCAGAGAACAGAATAAGCTTTTTGGGATTTACTTACCTGGATGATTGAACATGCATCAAGTACTGTGGCCCTAGCAACTACCTGGCATTTTGGCTAATGGATGCACTAATCACCATTTATTTACACCTTTCAGAAGGGTAGGGTAGAGTATGGCACCAACACGTTAGCACACCTCTCATAATCCTGCCTTACAGGACAAATTGCACCAATCCCTGCTTCTCCACAGCAACCCAGGTTGTCAGTGGCGGCTCATTTAAACTGTAGGAATGATTTACCCAACATCGGAAAAATACTAGGTCAACTTTAGTGTTATCACACAACATCAATGTAACTAATTAATGCTACCTTAACTTCTCTGGCCCTGCACTTTAAATTGTCCAAGTCAACAAAATGTAAGATTTACCTGTGGTAGTTTATTTAAGCAAGTTATGTGGTGCTAACCTTTGCTTTAACAATGAATAATTTCTTGTCCTTCACCTCCTACACGGTGGCATTACTTGCCCATCCAAATCCAAAATACATGTTGCTGTCCATACTTTGAAACCTTTCATTATGGCTACAATGTTAGGGATCCTCTACAAGACACATGTAGATGTGACCAAACTGGAGCTCTGGGAGAGAGGTCACTCTATATACAATACTTTGAAAAAGTATTGTATATAGAGTTTTTCTAGTCTTACTCACTGCTTTTAATACACAAGCCCAACTCAGAGTGGAAGATGAGCTATTAGTAACACTACATAGAGTAGATTTTGCAGTAGTTTTGCTCTCTTTGGAGAAGAGTTAGAGTTAAATGATGCTTTTGGTTATTAATGTCAATGATCCACTTTACACATTTTAATAATATAATAAAAGCTGAAAAACAAAATAATTGGTTACTCAGTGTCTAATTTTGTATGTGACTTGAATTCTTTTCTGCAGGATGATCTATAGAACAGCATATCGTAGTGGGAACAAGACCATGTACCGGAGGAAGTCTCAGTGCTGCCCAGGCTTCTATGAGAAAGAAGAGATCTGTGCTCGTGAGTAACACACACACACACACACACACACACACACACACACACACACACACACACACACACACACACACACACACACACACACACACAGCCATGTTTCTATCACTTTAGAGGATTTCAAGCTATTTCCTTAAACACTAAGAGAGTCAGGAAGACATCTTATGCAAGTTTCAGTGCTCTGTGAGACAAATAGTGATTTTGCTTAAGGTCAACTTTTAGTAACACTTTCCTTACAGCCATTTATCACACTTATTAAATCCTGTAATGAATATTTCTTTTTCAAATATCTTGTCACACTTACCTTCCCAGCAAGGCTATTACACAACCCACATCCCTCCCTTTTAATAGGCAGTGACAGGTGTTGCTTTGGCAAAACTAACAATTGTAACAGCAGTAAAAAAAAAAAAGAAGAAGCTTTCTGTCAAGACAGCCTGTTCTCATGGTGGAAAGAGTTAGTGATGAAAAAGTTATGTGTGCTGTGGTGGAAGGGAGAAAACAGTTAATGTCCCCCAGGAGTTCATAGGGGAATTTGTTCTAGTGTGAAAATACTCTGCTTTATAAGTAGCCTAAGCATCACATGCTGCTCTGAGAATCACATTTAATTTGCCAGACACTTTAGGCAACATGCCGTTTCCTGTTGGAAGTTGTATTGGAGAAGGAATCAGTTATATTAAGGATTTATTACTTTTTGTTTGTGTAAAGTCAGAGAAGAATCTGTTTGTTTGAAGTGGGTTAATCAATGCAAATCCAGCTTTAAAAAGAGTAATAATCTTTCAAATCAGTGGCATTTGCTTGGTATTAGTGGACAGTGAAAATATATCATAGTCTTGATGGGAGTTGTCTGTTACAAGGACTGTATTTAGAGTTTCTTGTAAAGAAAAATATTTGTTTGCATGAGGAAAAATCTGCTTGAAAAACTCTTTAAATCAGTCAGCTGTAGAAAACACAAAGTAACTAAAAGAAACATTGACATTTTATTGAAAAAGCAAACAATTTCTAAAAGTCCAATTCTGTTTTTGGCCACAAAAACTCTTTAAAGTGTTAAGTCAAGTCAAGTCACAGAGCATTCAAAAAAGAATAGCAAGTCCCAGTTTCCATTTCACAAATCAGATTTATGTCTTTGACATGAACATTTATGTGATTACTACTACATGACTAATTCTAATGTAGATGTGTTTTGATGGGTTATTTTTTGGGGGGGCCGTGCTGATCCCTGGCCTCTCTCCCTGTCTCCTCGATGTCTAGCTCATTGTACAGAGAGCTGTATTCATGGCCGTTGTATGGCACCCAACACCTGCCAGTGTGAGCCAGGCTGGGGGGGCTCCAATTGCTCGAGTGGTAAGTCCTCCAGCTGTTGCTGTCTGTTCACAATAATGACTTTGTGAGTGGGATTGGTTTTCTGTAAAAACACTCTGAACTCACAAGAGGAGAATCAGACTGTTCTCGTCTTACTGTACCACACCAATGGCTAGACATACTGCAGGGCCAAAATACTGATGTCAGTCACAACACATGCAAGTCAAAAGTTGGAACGTGAGCATGTAGGAACTCAGGAAATTAATGGATTTAGTTTTGGTAATCAGATCTTCTTACATAGGAACTTGTTATAGGATTTTAACTACCTGTCCTCCTTAGACATATATATATATATTTTAATTTCACAGGGAATTGGGGGGTTTTAGTGGGTGGCAGATTTTTTATGTAAACAGACCAGTTTAGCAACTAGACTTTTTGTGCAACCTGGCTGCAGCACTTGATTAATTCTCTAAATGTTGACTTAAAGCAAGTTCCTAAAATGCTAAAGGTGATATGAAGTACGGATAATAGTTTTGAGTCAGTTTTGTTTGATTTGGATTTTGCACTCTCCTCACATGGAGCATTTCTTATCAGCAAGACATCAGGACTATATCACTTGACTCTACTTCACCAACACTTTTTTTTGTCTGCACAACACGGGAGGCATTAAGGAAGATTTACATAGCTTACTGTGTGATATTTATAAACCACGTGCTTATCAACTTCATTCACAAGAAAATCACAAAACAAAAAACACACAGCATCTGAAATACAAAACGGGTAGTATACAAACAAAAATACAATTTTGCTGCGGTGTATGTCTGTGTGTGTGTAAGAGAGAGAGAAAGAACAATTGGAAAAATTGTGAAATTCTGTGTATGAGCATTTCTCATGCAACATATTTGATAATGAGGGTCAGAGAATGCAATACAAACCCCTGGGAGCCAGAGGCAGACAGTCAAAGACTCAGGAGAGCTACACTGTACACCGACCCCAGAAGTGCTGAAGACCTGAGGTCACACACCTAGACGAAAACCATGGGTCCAACCCAGCAGGGGGAAGAGGGAGGACCTGGTGGAGGACTCGGTGGAGGGCCCACAGCCAAAGGGCAGGAGTGCCAGACAACCAGAGGCAGCAGGCAGCCAACCGCGGCAGAGGCCAGCCTTCCCAGCATCAGCTGAGGATGGGAACCCAGGCGCGAGAACCTCCTGACGGAGCCGACTTGATGAGAGGTCCAAGCCTCCCCATACCACAACCTCAAGGGAGCAGGCCAGCCAACGCCAAAATTTCCACCCAGGGTGCCATTGGAGTGCTAGCTCCAGCCAGCAGTGAACCTGGGACGCAGGCAGACTGGCCCCAGATCAGCAGCCAACCTCACCGCCAAAAAACAGGGTGCAGGAAACAGGGGTGTAGGCCACTTTTAACAGCTGTTAGTGTCAAAGGTAGGCCTTTTGGGTCCATGTGTTGGTGCACGTCACAGTACGAGTAAATAGTGAGTAGGACTGTGTGAAATCTAGACTAAACCACTACTGATGAAGGAACACATGCGACATGAGAATGTGGCAGCTGGTTAACAGTGCTCATCCAACCAACTTTGACCCATGTGGCACATGTTCCATCCCTCCCCACGACCCTATGTGTAAAAGTGACTGATAATCAGAGGAGGTTGAGGAGGAGAAGGCATGGGATCTCTAAGACCAGTTGACTACCCTTGAAGGCGAAAGCCACTTCTGCTGGCTCAGTAAGCACTTCTGTTTCCTCTATGACACTGCAGGGCAACAAAAAATTGAACCAGCACCCGTGCAAATGGCACACCCTACCACCGCTGCACCAAAGGCTGTCACACTGCTGACGCCACTATAAAGAGTATTCTAACATGTGCAGACATGCCCCAAATCTGGGGGCCCATCTGCACATGGAGCCAGTAACCCGCTCAATCTACAAGGACAAGAAGAGTCAAACTGAGTCTGAACCTAGTCACTGTGTCAACCACTCCAGAATGCCAGAACATTCGGCCACTTGCTCTGGAACCAACAAGTACCAGCATACCGGGGAGGGGCATCAACATCAAGCAGGGAAAAATAGGGAGGGGTAACCTCACCCTCCATGACCTTGTCCCACAGCGGCCAAGGCTCAGCAAGCCCCAGACCCAGACATGGACACACACACAGACACCCGGGGAACCCTCTTTTGATGATAAATCATAAAAATAATCCCAGGGTGTTGTTTGACACCATTAATAGCATTATATCCTCCCCTCCTCCACATGCATTGATAGCCTCTGACGATGACTTTAATGTATTTCTCCATGATTTTGTAAATAGGGTGATGGACTTAAGCTCGAAATTCTCCTTAGGTTCCTTGCCTGATGGGGATTGCCCTCAATACTTTGATTCATTTACCTCATTCTGTTCAATTACACTAAGTGACTAAGTTAGAATAATGGTTAAGCTGAAACCTTCATCACCATCTTTAGGGATCTTGCATCGCTCTGTTCTTTTTGGGTCCTTCGTTGCTTTCTATCATTAATAGCTCACTGAAGCGAGGTTGTGTTCCATCTTACTTTAAGCATGCTGAGGTCATTCCATTACTTAAAAAACCTAGTCTTGATGCCACGTCTCCTAGTAATTACCGGCTTATTTCAAAATGACCATTTATTAGCAAATTATTAGATAAAGTTGTCAAATCAATTTATTTATTTATTATGCAAACTACACATTTCTGACCCTTTTCAGTCCGGTTTTCAAAAGCAGCACTCCACTGAAACTGTTCTTTTAAAGGTCTGTAATGATTCTTTTGCTTTGTGCTTGTGTTGCTTGACCACAGTGCTGCCTTTGATACTGACCATAATATTTAATTACTAGGCTGAAGGTTTTGGTTGGTAACTCTCGCTCACCACTAGATCTGTTTTCCTCCTATTTATGTGAGAGGACGTTCTGTTGGGGCAAGCAGATTCTCCTTCCACACTGCTGGTTTAACCTGTGGCATTCCTCAAGGTTCCATCCTGGGTCCATTGCTATTCTCCTTTCACATGCTTCCTTTAGCTGGTATTATTCGATCTTTCTCAGGCATTTCTTATTAATTTGATGCTGATGACATTCAACTGTACTATGTCTTTTAAGCCTCACCAGCTGGATAGGTTGTCTACCCTAGTTGACTGTTTATCTCATTAGTGACTGGCTTTCCAACAATTACTTTGTTTTAAATTCTGACAAGACTGCCATGATTATAGCTCCTCCTGATATACAATCAAGAATCAGTCAAATGATTGCTTCTTTTTACTTGGTAATTTTGGTGTAATAGTTGATTCCTCCTTGAACATTGACTCAAATATAAAATTTTGCTTAAGATCCTGTTTCTTTTATTTAAGGAGTATTTCTAAATTGCAACCTATAGTTTCCTCCTATGAAATGGGAAATAATTTTCATGCATTTGTATTATGCGCTTAGATTACTGTAATGCCTTTCATTTTGGCTTAAATCATCTCTGTCACACCTCAAGCAATAAAAAATGCTGCAGACAGATTCCTGACACACTCTCGTTTTATTTTCTCAATATTGGCTCTTGGTTGATATTAAAATTCATTTTAGGAGTCTCACAATTGCATACAGAGCAATAAATTTCCCCACCAAATTTCCCAGAGGAACCCACCCGAGGGATTAATAAAGTTTTATCTTATCTTATCTTATCTTATCTTATCTTATCTTATCTTATCTTAAATAGACAAGCTCCACACTATTTGTCCCAAACATCTTTTTAAACACACTGCTGCTTGTTACCTCCATTCACAAGCTCAAAATCTATTAGTTGTACCTCATACAAGAGTGAAGACTAGAGTGGACAAAGCTTCCAGGCTATGGAACAGTTTATCACTCCAGCTCTGTTTAGCTGAGTCTTTTAAGGAATAGTTTTCTTCCATTTAATCAGGTTTTTTGCTGATTTTCTTTTGTTGTGTGTCTGCTGTGGCAGACATGTGGAGTGGAGAGAGTGTGGACCCAAATGCAGACTTCGGAAATTGACTTTTTTTGAACACAAACAAAAGCACAGTAAGAAAACGACTAAACCTAAACAGGGAGGAAACTAGAAGCAAGTATAAAGAAACTAAAAACCTGAGTCATGGGAAATTCAGTGGGTGATATGCAGACAATCGAGCAACAAACAGAGGAAGACAAAAACTACGTGTACACTAATCCGAATAAATTTGAAAATGCCGTTTTAGTCTAAAAATGCTTCGCGTCCACACTACTGTGTACAATTGTTTTCATCCACACTGAAAGCGCTTAGATTCCTGTACTACGCATGCGTGAAACCTGCGTCATTTCTGCCGTGTATTTAGTTTCCAGCTCTTTGAAATGTTGGGGCAAAATGTCGAGGAAAAGAGGAAAAACTGATATTATTCTTTAATAGGGCTGCCAAAATTGAGAGCAAACAAAGCAACTGCTGTACAGTACCAAACGCCATTTTAGTTGAATTGGTCACATTGGGAAGCAAAACTGAAAACACTAACATATTACACGAGACTGTCCTGGTAAAACAGGAAACATGAGACAGGCACTTGAAACAATGCGAAACACAGACGTGAAAAAATAACTTGACTAGACGCAACACAAGGACCACAGGGGAAGCACAGAGACAGACACCAAGAAATCCAAGACATTTGTTTTTAAACATGGTTCACTGTTGACACTGTATCTTAATTGTCGTTCAGCGCTTTGTGACTGTTATGTCTGTGAAAGGGGCTAGATAAATCAACTTTACTTACTTACTCAACGAAAACAACAAAGAGCGATCATCTTTGTATCTCACCGACACCGAGGTCTAATGTATGATTTAAAACACATCAAGCATTCCTATATTCTACTGTTGAAATAATGATCATGATCTTTCAAAAGTAAGTAAAAGTAATAAAGAACTATAACATCTAAATACTTCTACAGTTACATGATAAATTCAATGATCAACAGAAATGGAAATGTCATAACTGAAAAGACTTAATTAGAAAGCAATGGTTTTGTCATAATTTTCGAAAATCGTGTGCCAAA